CTGTTAGCAAGAACTAAGAGCGACAAAAAGAGAAGGTCAAGAAAAGGAAATAAATTAAAAGCAATACTCTCTCCGTTTCAAATTAGATGAATTACTTTCTTTTTTCGTCTATTCGAAAATAAATAACACATTTCTTAATTTGGAAATAATTCAACTTTAAACTCTTTATTTTACTCATTTTACCCTTAATAAGAAGCTTTTATAACTACTCAAATGTCATGGTCCCACAAAGCTTTTACCTCGTAAGTTTTTAAAACCACAAATTTCAAAAGTCTTTTTTTTTTCTTAAACTCCGTGTGGAGTCAAACTACATCATCTACATTGAAACGGAGGGAGTATTTTATTAGCGGCAATAATGGCACAGTCTTTCCCAATGAAGGATGGTGAAGGTGCCTACAGCAACACCAAAAACTCCCTATTGCAGGTAATATTGAAGGTGACCACTTTATGCCTTTCGGATCCTTTGTTAAACAACTGCTTTTTTTTCCCCCCTTCTTAATACAGCTTTTTATCACCATTAAAAATTTTGCAATCAAGCTTTCGAGTTTACTACTCCATTCCAATAACTTACAGAAATTGGAGAGTGTGTCCTTATTTCCTTTTTTTTTAATAAATATAAATAATTCTCTAATTCTTACCATGTATCCTCCAAGTAATATTTAGTTACTTTGAGTTATATTTGGTGTCCAAACTCGCCTCTTTTAGATAAATTTTTGTCGATGTATAATTAAGATGGCTCATTAACTAATTAAGTAAATTTGTGTTGAACTTTGGTAAAATTTGTCTAATACAGACATGACTAAAGTGGTGAAGAAAAATGGTTGTTTTAGTGTAGAGAGAATAGAACTAACGTATACCCAGTCCAAGATTGATGCAAAGAGTTTCGTAACTCACTTGAGGGCTAGTTTAGAAGGAATATTCACCAAAAATTTTGGAAGTGAAATAGCAGATGAAATGTTCATGAGGACTTTAGGAAAATGCGAATAGATTTCTACATGGTTGAAAGTTGAATACTACAAGACTGTGAGGCAGTTGTTTGTGATTTTGGAACGTAAAATAAACTTGTAAAGGAGTCATCTTTATTTTACCAGTGTGGCATCAATGATCAATTGTACCAAGTTTAGCAATTACTTTGAATCACTAGGTAGTTTGCCTTTCCAGTATGGATGTGAAATTTCAAAGAATATACTGATGTGTAAGAGTTTGTCCTGGGGTTTTTTTTAATATTTGGTTTACCTATTACTTGAAGGAATGGTAAAATATTTATCATAATTGATTTTATTTTTCTTAAAAGCAAAATGTAGATATCTTTCATATTTGATAGATCTCTTTCTTTGAGAATTTTTTTTTAGACCTTTATAAATTGAGGATCCCTCCTTCACGCAACAATACAATACAATAGCATCCACAATATAATCCTTTAGAGTTGAAGAGTCATGTTTAGAGGGAGAACTTTTCTCTCAATTTTTTTGTAGACCCTTTTATATAGTAGAACATTCATCTCCTCCCATATGAATGTAGGTTAATTGACCAAACCACGTTATAATATTTTCTTTTGATATAATTATCTTTGTTGTGTGATTTATCGTGTTAAAGATTTGCTTTATTAGATTATACATGATGCATTGTTATTTTGATCCAAACAAGTGGTATAATTGATGGTAGGCTAGAAATCCGTATTTTAGCCGTAGTTTGCACTCTAATTACTGCATTTTTACTTATGTTTGAGCTTAAATGACAGTGAATTGTACTTATTACGTATTTTATGCCTTGCATGAAATGCTTCCGAGCTAAAACGATAATTTGGAGCTAAATCGAATAATTTGGAGCTTTGAAGTCTGAGTAAAAGCCTAGGGAATTAAATCGGGATCGCGTTTGGGGTCGAGGACCATGTTTGGATACCAAAAAGTGTACAAAATATTTACTCTAAGAAAATTGTACTACCGCGCTGCACGGGGCGGCGCGGCGCAGAAGTGAAAATATGCTTGACAGATGATTGACCTGCTCTCTGATAATTCCACTAGCGTGTCGCATGGTGTAACGCGAGGCGCGGCACGCCTGTGCAAAATTCTTAGAGTATTTTTCCACTTTGACTTGGAAAGGGTAGTTTCGTTTGGACCCGCTTATACACGATATAAATACATCAAAAATACGATTTTGAGAGGACTTTTGACCTACAAAAGATTTGAGAAGTAACTAAGTCAAGAGGAGCTTTATATTGTATTTCTTTACATCTTATGCTCTAGTTTAATTTAGTGATTAAACTAGGTAATCAAAAGAGCCTCTTGAATTATCAATCGAATTAGAAAATAGAAAAATATTCGTGAGAAGTTACTCTTTAGACTAAAACCATCATTTTATTTGTTGTGGTTGTTCACCGTGCTTCAATTGGATTATTTATTAAAATGAACGTTTAATAGAAAGAGGAACCTTAACTTCAAGTATAATCTAATTATCTGGTGAATTAGTGAGAATCAACAATATTATAGAGTGAATTACTTCAAGAATTGGATCCCGAGCCAATTATCTTGCACATGTCTAGTCAATTACCCTTATTTCTCTCATTGATATTTCTTTGTTACTTAACTACTGTCTTTCGTGATCAATTGATAAGTGCTTAATTTTTTGTAGTTAATCATAGTTGTGAATCATTCAATCAAGTGTTAATTTTTCTGGATAGTATTTAGCTAAAGATTATTTGAACACTGTTTAAATTCAATCCATGTGAAGACGATAATTTAACTATACTATCTTTGACTAGCGAGCAATAATTTTGTGTTGTGTTTTGCACTCCTTAAATTTTGGCGTCATTGCTGGGGATTGGCAATCAATAATGTTCAAAATAGTTTATCATACTAATTCAGGAACCAATTTTACTTTGTTGTATTCACAGTTTCTCACTTGTGTGCAGGATACATGTCTAACCTCTTTGGTGTATCACTCGCTCTTCTTTAAAGGAAGTGATACCCTACGAACCGGAGTTGGAAAAACACAACTGAGAAAAGAAAGAGGATTCACCGAAAATTTCTTGGGGAAACCTTCAACCCAAGAACACATGGCAAAGAACGGTGATGATAGAGTAGACTTAGCTGCGAGAGAGGCAGCACAACATAGAGAACAAGCTACATGGTTAGCAGCTGAAGCAACCCTTCGAGCAGCTGATGAGACTTTCGAAGAGGATGGGAGTCGAAGATTCAATCTAAATCGACCCCTGGTTCAAGACTAGTTTTGAAATGCGTCCCTGTAATGACCTGGCCATTCGTTTTGTTTAATTGCACCATGTTTTCCTTTTTGAAGCTTCACACATGAGTGTTTATGATTTTATTACTTGCGGGGTGAGCTAGCTTCATTCCGGGAAGATTTCGGGTTGATTGGGACCCTTTGTTTCTCTACTTAGAAGCCTAAGTTGATTAGGCTGACCAAACTTTGATTTTTGTAAAAATGATCTCGTAACGGCGTTTTGATGGCTCCGATAGATGCGCATCATAATTTTGGACTTGGGAATATGCCCGGTGATGAGTGATGATTTTACCATTTATTTTAGTCTCTTTTCTTTAGTTTTTGTGTCCTTTAATTATAAAATAAGGTGATTTATGGTGTGCA